TTCTCCCCGCCGCCTCCGTGTGCCTCCTCCCCGCAGCCATCAGCTGCTCGGTGCCTGCGGCTCCGCTCCCTCCCCGGGAGCCGCCGGGCTCTCGGCAAGTGCGGCTTCAGCAGGTGTCACATCGCCTGCACACGCTCACCCCAGCCTTAGGAAGCGGCAGGCCAGCTTCCCTTTCCGTTACTGGGGCAAAAACTGTTCTGGAAAATCCCGTTAAAGCAGCACCAAGCGTGGGCTGCGCGCACACGGCTGCTCCCTTGCTGGCGCTGTCCCCGCACGGAGCTGCAGGTCCTGCTCCTCCCGATGCAGCTGCCCAGGAGCTGCATCTCCCTGCCCTGCCTGCTCCACTGCTGGTCATCACCCAGCTGTTTCCATTTCCAGCTTCCAGCCACGGCAGCACCTCCACCTTTGCAGGCCATCGGTACCTCAGGCTTGGTTATGTGATTGCAATTGTCATCTTTTGATTTAGGGATGACCAGGCTGATTGGCACAGATGGAGAATCAGCTTTTAAACCTTTAAGCTCCCCTCAAATCATTCAAATGCTTCCAGAAAAATGGAACAACCATGCAGTCCTGTATATATGTCCTTATTTATATGTTTCCCAAGCATGAAAAGCCAGAACATCTCGTGGGTTTCAGCTATAAGCAAGCTGGATAAACACTGACCAAGATGGAATTATCTACATCAAGGGTTAATCCATCTCAGCCCAGCTCCTGCTGGTCCTCCCAAACCCCCCAGGTAGCTGGAGAAGGTCTCCAGCGATGAACCCAGCCAGAAGCAGCATCCAGGGTGTAGGCAATGGAAAATGAGATGTTTCTAAGTTTGGCCAGGCTTAGCTGGCTCCTCGCAGGTCCCAGCCTGTGAGTCACCACTACGTGGGCCACCAGCACGGCCTCCCCTCTGGAGGAAGGAGTGGAGGTGGAAAAATAACAAGAGGAAACCAGTTGTTAGTAGTGCCAGCTCCAGGGAGAGTGGGAGGAGGTGGCAGTCCTGGAGAGAAAGGTCAGGGCTGCATTGCAGGCTGCTGCCTGATTTTAAATCCTACCCTCATGCTAGAAAACTGCTTACAGGAACACACTTGTGCAATATGTATGGAGGGTCTGGGCTGATGTGAGGGGAGAATGAAAGCCTCCAACGGCAGCCAGGGGTGATGGAGGATTTTTTCTGGTCCCTGCTCACTCATCTCCTCTGATTTCTACTGAGCTGAACCTGAGTACCCTGTAAAAACCAAATTTTGGTCCCTTGCAAACATTGTAAAAGAAGATGCACTTTTCAGATGTACTGGGAACAGATACATCCAAAAATAAAATAAAAGAATGCAGGTGTCCAGCCTCTTCTGGTGCTTCAGCTCTCATAACTGGTGCTAACTGGAATGCACCAGTGGGGGACACAAACCTCAGCTACTGTTCCCTTGTCCCTGCCATCAGTCCAGGAACACTTGGCAAGGCTTTGCTGTGACACCTCCCCTTCCCACAGAGACATCTGCAGCTGTGGATCAGCACTTCTGCTCTCCATTGCCTTGCAAGAATTCCTTTTCTCCTGCACCCTCCCATCTGACAATTGCCACCAGTTGCCAGTGATTTTTCTCACCTCCTATCCAAAATGCTCAGAGCCAGCTGTCTCTCTGCTGGTAGACTGGCACTTCCCATCAATGAAACCATGTGTTTATGCCTTCAAGGAAATTAGAACAGCTGTCAGGGGGGGAAAAAAGGCACAGCCAGGTAGCATGCCAGGTCAAGGGGGAAACTGCTGTGTGAGACTTGCTATTGTTACTGGCTGGTGATGCCCCTTCTCCCTGAGCGGGACTAATTCTCCCACTCGGAGCCGGAGCTGGATCTGTTATGCTCAGGCTCCCTCTAGTGCCTCCGTGTCCCCGCTGCTCTGCCTCCTCTGGACGTGTATCGGCCATTTGTCCCCGCGGAGAATTTCTCCCATGGCCCCGCTGCCCTCCGGCATCGCTCGGCTCCACAGCACAGCCGAGCCCTGTTTGTTCACAGGCTGGGAACAGCCCTAAAAGCGCCCCAAAGCCACCGGCACTGCCAGGGCAGGGAGCTCCCGGGGAGATGCCAGACAGCCCAGTCCTGGTCTGCTTGCTGGAGTGAAGGAGGGTGTGAAGGTGGGTGTGAAGGTGGCCACATCCCACGGGCTGCTCTCCCTGACAGGGCACAGCCCTGGACGCTGCAGCTGCATCCAGGGTGGGAATCCTCCGTGTGAGCCATCAGGGATAGCAAAAAAGCATCCCTGCACTCTCCCCACTGCTCAATGCCTCCCCAGGAGGGAGCAGTTTGTAGGGTCTGTGCCAAGCAAAGACAGCTGGACTCCTGATCTGCGCTGGTTTTGTGCTCACTGGGGAGCTGTGCTGTCACACTGTGTCCAGCATCCTACATGAACATGGCCTTTCCTTGTCTTCTTCCTGTGGAAATGGGGAGGAAATTCCTTCATGTTTTGGGAAATGACCAGAGCCAACCTCTGTTCAAGCCCCTGTGAAACTCAGCCTGGCTCAGCTCTGGCACTGGCACCATGCTGGACAGTGGGCAGTCCCTGGCATTACTGAATGGGGCAGCCCCAGAAATTCCTTACCCCAGGGCAAAGTCACCTCACAGGGAGGGAGGAGGCAAGCTGGGGGAGGCTCTGCAATGGGGTGTCAGCATGAAAACTGTGACAGACCAGAGATCAAACAGCATGAGTGTGCATGATGCAAGGACAGTGACCGAGATACAGCTGTCAAAGGCTCGGTGGGATTTTTGTGTTATGATTTTTTCATAATTGTTTTGCAGCTGGAGTAATTACCATCCTATTTAACAAGCACAGCTCCTTTAATAGAGGACACTTGTGCTAAGGTGCACTAATTAAGTCTGTAATCCCCAGAAGCATGACTAAATATTTTGAACTGGCCAATCGTTGTCAGTAACACCATAATTAGAGGCACAGAAGCTCATCAGGGCACGGAAGAAATTCAAGGGGGCTCAATCACCCAGCAGTGTGATCCTGGTCCTGCCTTGGTTCCTCCTTTTCACCTTGTTCTCTGCATTGGTTTGTAGTGATTTATAAATCACTACTGCCCTGGATATGTTACACTCAGCCCCATGAACTGAATGTTCTTCCACAGTTTTGTTTTATTAATTTGGCTTATGGATCTTGTCATCACCTGGGCATTAAGAACAGCTTCTCTAATCCCCACCTAGCTGACTGCTCATCTGAGTGGCCCCAGGAGCAGCTGGGAAAGACTCCCAGGGAGATCCAATAGAGCAATATTTGCAAAAAACTTGGAAAGGGTGGATAGAGCCCTAAAGTAAACCCTTCTGTCTCTTCCTGTGGAGGAAGGCTCAGAAATTAGTGCATTTTGAAATGCAGTGGAGGCAAACACACCTCTGGGATTCAGTTCTGTTTTCCACTGAGCTTGGCTCTCTGTGTTATCAGGAGTCAGGGCTTCTCTCTACTGTTGGCTGCAATTAGCTGGCCACAGTGATGTACAAATATTTTAAGACTGGAGCTCTCTATAGTGGAAGGAATTTAAAAAAACAACAGTTTAAAAAGTCAGATGTTTGCATATCAAGGAGGATTTTGAGCAGACCTTCATATTCCAGCTGCAAAATGCCAGTAAAAGAATATTGCTATTTTCATCTATTTTTACAAAAGAACCGCTCAGAATGGGGGTGGGGCTGGGAAATTAAGCCAAATACATTTTGCATCTTAGGTCTTGCTCAAAATAAGAGAAATACTGAAACTGAATTGCATTATCTTTCTTTTTCCTGCCTCTTTTTATTTCACTCTCATCAGTATTATCCAACTACTAAGGACAATCTATTTTCCCCTGTTTTTATAATAGGAAGAGCTTGTTTATAGCTATCTGAGCTTGGGGCAGAGTAGCAATTGCTCTGCAAGCAAGCAGCCACTGAAACAATGTCCAGTTCACTTTGTGTACTGGCCATGGGGCTTTTGGTCTCTGGGCTATTTTTTCAGTCTGGGTTACTTTAAGCAATTCACTTGTGCCTCTCACTGTAAAATAAAGGCAATGTCATCAAAAGGTGGCAGTCTGTTCCCACAATGCAGAAGAACCTGGGTCTTTTCTGCGAATTTTTCAGTGGTTCCCATTTGAAATCACAGCACCCTTGGCCATAAATGCTACAATTGGTCAAGAGATAAAACCCTAGGGGCTAGGGCAAGCTTGGCCTTCCTTGTTCCCCTTATTCCTGTGTCACTTCACCATGGGAGATGCCCCAATCCATGCCCACAAATCCAGTCTTTCCTTGGACACCTCCAGGGACGGCAGCTCCACCACCACACTGGGCAAACCATTGCAATGTCTACCCTTTCCATGAGGAAATTTTCCAATCACAGCCATAATTTCAGTGTCTGTCACAGACTGAAATACCAACTTCAGTCCTTGTCTTGTGCAGGAGTGACACTTTAACCTCACAGCACGGTCAGAACCCAGCACACCTGCACTGTGCCAGGTCTTTGCTGGGCTTGGGGGTTGTGGGGGTCACCGAGCTGGCACAGCGTTCTGTCTGAGCTGTTCGAGCCCCTGGTGCTTCATACCAATAAAAGATGAACGCATTGAGTGAACCCGCCCTGAGGAGCGTTGTCTGTGCATGACTACATTGCCCGAGCGCGGTGAACGCACAGATGAACCCAGCCCGGGCTCCGACGGGGCCGAGGGCCTCAGGCTCCCGCGGGGGTCGGGCAGAACCAAGCAAGGCGGCCTCGGCTCCCGGCTCCCTCGGTTCCCGGCCGGCAGAGGCCATGGCTGGGGACACCATAGTGGGGGGACCGTGTTGCTGGGAACCGCGTTGCTGGGGGAACCGCGTAGCTGCGGGACCGGGTCCGCCACGTCGCTGGGTGTTGCGGTCCTTCCGCGGCGGGGCCCTCCCGGGTGGGAGCGGCCTCAGGCCCCTCACGGAGCCGGAGCGGGAGCGGCGGCCGCGGGAGCCGGGGCGGTGCGGGCACACACCAGCGATTCGGGAAGGCAACGGGGAAACTGCCGGGCGGAACTGCAGGACACGGGGTTCCGGTCCGACCCTGATTCCCGGCAGCCCCCGCGGTGCTCTCTCTCTTCCGGTCCGGTGGCGGCGGCGAGCGCGGCTCCGGTGAGGGCGGCCCCGGCACCATCCGCGCCCATCCGGCACCATCCGCGCCCATCCGGCACCATCCGCGGGCCGGGCCGGGCCGGGCCGGGCGGAGGGGCCGGGTCGGGGCTGTCGGAGCGGGGCAATAAGCGGGGCTCGGGGCCGGGCGGGCTCTGTGCGGCAGCCGGGCGCCCCTCGGCAGCCCGGCCCGGCTGAGCCGTGTGTGTTTCTCCCGCAGGTGCGACCATGGCCAAGTCCAAGAACCACACCACGCACAACCAGTGTGAGCGGGCAGGGGATCTCGGCGGGTTAACCGGGCTGGGACCGGCGCGGTGAGGGCAGCACGGCCTGCCCGGGGGTTTGTGGCAGATAAGGTGGTGCTGCACAGGGATGGAATGGGGGGGTTGAAGAAGTGCGATAACAGTCGAGGCTTGTTTGGGCTCAATGTAGAATTAATACGTAGGTAGAAAAATAGGAGCTTTTACATTGGAAAACTGGGGGTCGGTCTCTTATCCCAGGTAACCGGCAGTAGAATGACAGGATGCAGACTCAAGCTGTGCCGGGGGAGGTTTGGGTTGGACATTAGGAAGAATTTCTTCACAGGGAGGGTGCTTGGACATTGGAATGGGCTACCTAGAGAGGTGGTGGTGTCACCGTACCTGGAGGTGTTCAGGGAAAGGCTGAACGTGCCCTGGTCAGGTTGGCTGGGTGGTGGTGGTGGACTCTGTGGTCTCAGAGGCCTTTTCCAACCTGAGTGATGCCATGGTGGTCACCACCAGCTAAGCAGGCAGAGGAACCTTTTACAAGAGCAGGCAGCTGCAGGACACAGGGGAATGGCTTCACACTGACAGAGTAGGCTTAGGTTGGATATTAGGAAGAAATGCTTCCCTGTGAGGTGCCCAGACAAGCTGTGGCTGCTCCATCCATGGAAGTGTCCAAGGACAGGGCTTGGAGCAGCCTGGTCTGGTGAGAGATATCCTAGCCCTTGGCAGGGGGTGGAACAGGATGGTCCTTAAAGTTATTTCCAACCCAAGCCACCCTGTCACTGTGTGATGTTCCTGAAAAGCTTCATCCCTGGGATCCTGTGCAATCCAGAGTTGGCCACTGTGATGAAATCATTCATGATTGGGGTCTTTCATCAGTGCTGTGATTAGCAGAGGTCACAGGTGGGTTCTGCTTGGTCCTGCACAGTGAGTGACAGTGCCCTCTGACACTGACCACAAGGGCTTCAGTTTATTAATGAGTGAGGTGATGCTGTCAGGGTGTCATTAGTTAATGAGCTGCCTGAAATCTTTGGATTGGAAGCCCATGCAAAGGGATGAGCATAGAGATGTGTTTTTAATTATTGTCTATTCCACACCATTTTGATGGTCAGGTACACTTAGAAACTAATGCAGCTGCTAAATAATAGCAGAAATTGGAATTTAAGTAATTGTCTTATTTTCCACACAGCCCGTAAGTGGCACAGAAATGGCATCAAGAAGCCCAAAACCCATAGATATGAATCTCTCAAAGGGGTGAGTATTTCTGTTGGTATTCCCAGGCTGTTGAGTCACTGAGGCTTAACTGTGAAAAACCCCAGAATTTGTATTTTTTGACTGACACTTTTTTTGGAGACATGCCTGTGTTGCAGGGGGTCAGAACCACTGTGGGGTTCAGTTCTTTCACTTGCCTGACATGCAGCTGGGATATTTCTAACCCACATGAAATCTGCCCTTGTATGTCTATAAAACTGCATTTTAGTCAGTGGCCAGTTTTGTCCCTGTCCTGTTCTGGTGGCTGTCACTGAGTGCTGTTTCCAGTAAAACAAACACTTGCCAGTTAAATGGTTCCTTTCCCTTTTGAGTCCTGCTGGCTCTCCTCCTTTCCCCCTCTTCTCTCTCCTTCAATATTGTTTTGCTGTTTATACTAATCCAGATAATTTCATTTACAAAATAAGAGGAATTGGCATTTCTGGGCAAAACACATGAAACTGACAGTATATTGCTTTTACTGAGATAATCCAAAAGGTACGACAGGATCTGTTTCCATTTCATTATGAAATGAAAACAGTAAATTTTTTGTTAGGGAGGGTTGTGATTTTATTTGCCTTGTAGATGTCACAGTCTACAACGCTTTTTGGAAGTGATGTAAAAATTTGTCTTCTGGAAAGCTCAGTGAGGGTTCAGTCTTGCCTCTCCTGCACCTTTGCCTGTCCTATTCTTTCTTTATGGTTATTGCTGGGGTTTGGGATTTTTTGTTTGTTTATGGTGGTTAAGGAAAACAGCTGTTAATGCCTGGTTGCAGATGACTAAAATAATCTTGTTGAAAAATCAGAAGAGAAGTTGGAACTAGTCACAGCCTGAATTTGGGAATAATTGCAACAGTATGGAGCTATAAATGTTTTTATAGATGACTTTTCTGCAACATGGCTTATTTTTCCTTTATTTTTATAGGTTGATCCCAAGTTTCTGAGGAACATGAGATTTGCAAAGAAACACAACAAGAAGGGGCTGAAGAAGATGCAGGCCAACAATGCGAAGCAGGCAGCTCAGCAGGCTGCTCAGCAGAAAAAGGACTGATGTGATTTAACAAGAAGACCCAGTTTTCTTACTGGCATGTGTGTTACAGCATTTTTTAAAATAAAATTGTATGTAACAAAGCCTTCACCTCCTGAATTTGAGGAGAGGCCTTGTTTGAGTTGTATTTTAGCTGGCAGCTGTGCATCAAGCCTGTGAGTAGTGATCCGGGGAGCCTGGCTGGCTTGCAGGTCCCTGGCTTCTCCTTGTGCTTTTGAAAACTGGGGTGACATTTTCTTTCTCAGGTACCATGAGTTCAGTGATAATTCCTGGTGCTCTTACAGCAAGGTGAACTTTCTAAGGGCTGTTCCATGTCTGCTGCTTTGGTGTGTGGTTCCCTACAGCTGTGGGAATCCAGGGAAATTGCAGGAGAAAGGGTGCTGGCTGTGGTGCTGGAGTTGGTGTGTGTTGTATCCTGAAATATTTGTAGATATTGAAGCATTAATGGAGCTACACCTGGGAACATGTAAAGGTTTAGGAATATACAAAATGCACATTTTTTAATAGTGACTGATTTTATGGAATCACTCCAGTAACAAAAGTACTGTCTGATGAAATGTGCTGGCTTGGGGAGATGGGGGGGGGGATAATGTGTGAAATCCCGGGAGGAGCTGAGCCCGGGTTTTGCTCCTGCTGTTTTGTACATCAGGAGAGGGCTTCACTGCTCAGGACCCCCCCAAAGCTGACTCATGCCGTGCTTTGCACTTCTGGCATGAGGCACCTGTTGGAATGCAGCCGGCTGCTCTGAGATTGCAGTTCCTGTGCGTGTCCACCCGGTGGGGTAAACAGCAGAGCACACCAGGGCTGGACGTTCACACGGACCTGACTGCAGTAGAGCAGCAAAACACTTGCAGGATAAAAAACAATTTTAACTAGAACATCCAACTCATGTAACTTATTTTTTTAAATAGTTTAGCCAGTTACCAAAATTACGTGTGTTAATTTGAATTCTTTCTGGCTTAAATTCAAAAATCTTCTCCCAGTTCCCACTTTTTAATTGTTTTTGACTGATTAGGAAAACCCTCCCACCCCTAAACAAAGCAATATAAAGGGATTTACTAATTTGAAACTCACAAGTCAAGGGGGTTGTAAAGTCAGGGATGTCTGTGGCCCTTAGCTGTCTTGATTCCTGCTGTGTGCATCTCTTGGGCTTTTGTGGAGGTTGGTGTTTGTCAGCCTGTTACAAACAAGTGTTTGAGGAGCTTAAATGATCACCAGCAAAGGTATTAGTAAAAAACAGATTTAATATTAAGCAACAGCATGACAGAGTTCATTGGCAAGCTTCCCTCCACTGCTTGCTAGATGATTAAGGCACACAGAGTGGAGTTGTTGCTGGTACTGAAGGAGATGGGAATGGCTGGTCCAGTGAGGGTCAGTGTGGTCAGTCTGGTGTAGATGTGTGTTAAAAGAGTTTAAGGAAAAAACCTCTGAACAGAGCACTTGGTGTTTGTCAGTCTACACCTTTACTGTGTCTGCAGATTTTCTACCCAGTGTGTGTTCTGCATTTTAAATCTCTAGCACTAAAACTTTTCCATAAGAAAAAGGTAAGAGGGGAGATTTCATCTCAATCCCCTTGATGTGTTCCCCAGAGTGCTTGTGTTGTGAGTGTAGCTCACCCACAAGATGCAGTCTAAGGGAAGAGAGAGGCAAGGGTCAGGCTGAGAAGAGGATGTTGGAATGTTAAGGAGAAGCTGAGAGCAAGATTTGGGTTTCCTGTGGCTCCCCCAGGCAGCTCCCCCAGGCCTGCCTTCAGAGCAGCCTTTTCATCTCACTGCCCTTCATGCTGCCCTTCAGTGGGACAGCTTCCCAAATAAGGGCTTGCTGACTTTCTGACCAAAATAGCGGCTGCGTGACAAAATGCAGCCCAGAGGAACGTAACCTTAATCCAGGCATCATTGTGTAGCAAGAGACAGGAATTCTGTGAGCTTCCACAGGTGTCAGGTTTGTTGTTGTGTGCTCCCTGCTCATGTGGTGGCTCTGCAGGACGCTGCCTGGACATCAGTGACCACCTCCTGCATTTGCTAACCCTGTGACACCTGTGTTCACAGCTCTCCTCTTTGTACAGTCACCCCAGCCCCAAAGGGGGAAGCTGTGGAGGGGAGTTTGTGCTGACTCTGCCTCCGGGTGGGTCTCCATCCTCTTTTTCTGGCCTTGTGAAATCATGTGAGTTCTGTTGGTGAAGTGAGGTTGGAGATCCTTTTTGGGGGCATTACGTATACAGACCCAGGAGGGGGGACCAGCAGCTGTGGCCCACTTGAAACTATCCCTATTACACAGAGCTCTCTCATCTTTGATATTTGAAAACTGCAAAACTCTCCTGATGAAGTGTTTGGTATCCTGCAGGAAGACAAAGAGCTCAAAAGCATCTCAATGCTCAACAACTGCTGTACATCAGCTTATACATCTCGTGCTTGCTGCTGCTGCACATCATACTTGCTGCAGATTATTTCTCCCTTTTGCAATTAAGAGGACTCAGTATCAAGTTCCAGTTTGGCTCCTTTCTCTGCTTTGACTTAAAAAAGAAAAAAGGCAAAGGGCGTGTAACCAAATACCAAATCATCTCATTTGGCAAAGGTGAGCCATTGCTCTGAAAGCCAAGAGCACAGAACTGGGGGGAGGGAATCAAAGCCCTGCAAAATGCTCTGATGGGGCAAGGTGTTTACTGGGGACATTGATGTTCACAGTGATGACAAAAAGTAGGGTTGGACACGTGTTGCTGTGTCCCCCTTTACTGCCTTTGAATAATGTGGTCAAAAAGAAGCAGTAACAGAGCATGAGTTCTGCTTTGCCCAGGTTTCAAGGCTGTTGCAGGTGTTTCTGCACCACAGGGGCTTTGGCTTGGTGAAGTGTTTATCTGATGTACCTTGGCTCACGTTACACTGCCACTGCCCTGCTGGCAGATTTAGGCAGAGGTTTTATTAGGGCAGTGAGTACAAAATTTCATCTGAGCTTCCTGCAGTCACTTGGTTCACACAGCAAAGTTTTATTGAGGGCTGAGGAGAGGCCTCAAATATGCTGATAAAGCTGCAAACCAGGGCAGGAGTTTAAATCCACAGCAAAGGCAAGCAGAGAAATGGCCTGAGAGCTGTGGCAGTGTCCAGTGGCATGGGCTGCTGTCACCTGCCTGCACAGCTCCTGTCTCTGCTAGGGAGGTAAGAGCACACAGATCTAGGGTCTGTTTTAGACGCTGGTAAATGACTTTTTGCCTGATTAAAAAAAAAAAAAAGCTAATTGCTTTTTCTTCCCAAGACAATGTGGACTTGTGTCACTTTCCTCAAATGCTTTTGAGCACTGGAGGTTTGTTACACATGCACTGAAAACTGCAAACTGATTTGGAGTTGCACAGATCCATGGATTCCTCAGGATGGTTTTCATTCACTGTTAGCACATCCCCTGTGTGGGGGCTCAGCCAGGCTGATCCTCCAGGGGGGCTGTTTTTTCAGCCTGCTCACCCACTCTCTGGCCTGTCATGTCGTGTTACATTCCTTGTGCAGTTGTTCCTGTGTTTTAGCCAGCAGTGAATCCACCCACAGCTCCTCACCCTGCAGCATTTGCTGTCTGACTGAGAGGACAGGCAGTGTTTTAAGGCAGGCCAGCCTGGCAGCAGTTTTCCTGGCTTCCCAACCTCCTGTTCTAAGGATGGGAAAAGCCTAAATATTCCCAGTGTATCTGCTTTTCTAGTGACAAGTTTTGGCTGCTACAAGACCTTTGTCTTCTCTCTGCAGCCACCACTTTCTGGGCTGTACTCTTGGAAAAGGGTGGGCAGCAGGTGAGGCTGTGGCTTTCTGCTGCCAGTGCCATTGAGCCAAGGGGGAAGAGCCCAGACACGGGGCCAGGTGGCTCTTCCCAGCCATCCTTTTCCCTGGGTCACAGCACAGTCCAAGCCACCAAGCTGACTGAAGGAAAGGGGTTAACCTTATTTTCTCTCTTGTTCACCCTCCAGGGAGCCAAAGCCTATCAGTAATCAGTGAGGAATATCTTGGAGAAGTCTTTTTTGGATGCTGGGATTTGGCCAGGACAGAGGAGGATAAGGGGGCTGTCAGTGATGCCTGATGTGACGTGAGTGCAGCTGTGGGTTGCCCGTGGGCTGGGTGGCCATGGGTGTGGGGACAGCTGGCATCACCTCAGCTCCTGGCTGAACCCCAGCTATTGGCAGCTCTGGAGCTTCCCAGGCCTGGGGTAAAACATGAGGACATGCTGTGTCCTCACAGGTTTCCGTGGGAAACTGCTGCTGCTGCTGCTGCTGCTGCTACACTGCAGAGGTGGAAAATGTTTCTTTTTAATCTCTAGGCTACAAATTAGTTGGAAACAGAATCTGTTAACCCCTGGGAGCATTTCCTGTCACAGGGTTCTCAGACCCATATTTCCATTGCCTTCTGGTGCACCTGTAGTCCTGCTGAACCTGCAGTAGCTATGGCATCAAGAGCTTGGAGCCCTTGGGGAGACCCCTGTGAGTGAGTCAAAGATATGTTTGTGTTTGAATTGTTTCCAAAATACCCTAGGTTTCTAGCTGACAGGTTCATTTTCTTAGTTTTTCTGTTGTTATAAGCCTTGATTTAACAAAGTATTTAGTGCTGCTTGTCCAGAGGAAAGACACAGCCATGTCCTTGCAAACAATCAACCACCTCTCTCATCCCTGTTTTCCATGAACTGCAATATTTCATCATTGCTATAAATGAGATTGTGTCACAGCTGCTTTAGGGTGTTATTTCCACAGAAGTGGGGGAAAAATAAATCTGGTTTGGGGAGGAAAGGCAGAAGGACAAGCAGCAGAGCTGGGGCACTGGCCCAGCAGCGTGGCCACGCAGGGCTGAGGGCAGCAGGGCCCAGGCTTGCACCTGCACTGTCCCGTGCCTGCCCTGCCAATGTTTGTTTTGCTTGGGTAAACGATTGACTTTAGCAACACGACTGCAATGTGGGAGTTGTGCTGGGGCTGTAATTCGATGGGAGGAGGCAGCTATGTGCAGGGAGAGCTGCTAATGCCACAGGAATGCTGCGCTTCCTTGGGGTGAGAGGAGACGGTGCTGTGGCTCCTTGGCCCTGCTGTCACCCTGTGCCTGGGAGCTGAGACCCAGAGTGGGCTTGTGCATTTCTCAGTGGCCCAAATCGATGTGATTTGACAGGGAAAATTGGGGGTCTCATTTTTTTGTAGTGAGGCTCCCACCCAGGGCTGCAGGAGGACTATGAGGGGCCAGTACCTGCCTCCCACCAGGCTGGGAGAGACAGGAAGGAGCATTCAGTCCAGCTCAGGAATGGCTTTTATTCATGTTTCCAAAGCAAAGTGAGGTCTTTGGGCATTACAGGGTGCCAATCAGGCTGGCAGGGAGGAGAAGGGGGTGTACCCTTGGGATAGCCAGGGTGAGAGTAGGGAGGAGAGGGACTGTCCCAGGCACATGAATGTCAGTGACGGCTGAAGGGGGTTTTAATTCATATTTCATTGCTAAAATGCTGCCAATGCTCCAGTTGAACCAGCAGGCACCAGTGCCAGCTCCCAAGCCTGCTCACCATGGGGGGGTTAGGAGATGGAACATGGCAGCTCCCCACGAGCACCCATGGCCCTGTTGGATGGACTTTGCTGTTGGGCTGGCAGCAGAATACCTCCCTGGAGGCTTGAAGCTCCAGTTGTGATGTCACCAGAAGTAGCCCCCAGGAGTGGTTTCATTAATCATGAGAACACAACAGGGGTGAAGCTGTCACTGAACCTCCAAGGAATGACCAGCTGAGGCACTGGGTATTAACAGGTTTTATTTCCCCCTGGCCACCCTTCTCAGCACTCAGTCTTCATGCTGGTAGCCAGGGGACTGAGTCAAGGAGATGAGATGCAGAGCTGGAGGGTTTAGCAGATTCAAGCTGTCCATCTGGCCTCAGATTTATTCAACCCCCTTCATAAACTCCAGGAACTCTGCCAAGGGGAAGACATTGGAGACAAGAGGTGTGAGGTGAGACTGAAGTGCCCTCACAGCCGTCAAGTGTGCTCTTGGCAGCTTTTCCCAGCCCTGTCTCCTGTTCCACCCTCACGATATGCGAAAGGCCAAGGGGGGGATGGCTACTGCTCCTCTGACTGTGGCAAGGACTCCTTGTGACTCCTGCTGGAAATGTCACTGGAGCCCAGCATCGCCCTCAGCTGCCACCACATGGCCTGGGCATCATTTTGTCAGCACCACATTCAAAGATACAGCCCCTCAGAAATGGTGCTGGTGTTAATGGGGGCAGGAGGGGACTGGTGAAAAGCGGCAGTGCTTCAGTACAGCAAGGGCACAGGTAAGGCAGCCCCAGGTCCTTGCTCCCATTTCACAAGTGTAAGAACCCTGCCATCCCCGTGCACGTGCTCCTGTCAGAGGTATTGCCCAGCACTGCCTGCATGAGCTCGTGCTCATCCAAGAAATCAGCCAAGACCAAGGGAGCTGCCCAGGGGCATGACCAAGGGCCTGTGATCAAACCACATGCAAGAAAGAGTCCTACCATCATAGTCAATCCTGCCATCGTTGTTTTTATCCCCATCTTTCATCAGTTCCTCTATGTCATCCTCAGTGATGGTCTCTCCTGTTGCCTGCAGCATGATCTTCAGCTCCTCGAGGTCGATGTAGCCATCAGCGTTTCTGTGCCAGGGAAGAAGAGCTCAGGACCAGACAGAGCTGCCTGGGAGGGGGCCAGGCTGGCTGCACCCTCCCCCCACGCCACCTCGCTGTGCTCATGGCTCTTACTTATCAAACATCCTGAAAAGGTCTGAGAGTTCCTCCTCGGTTTTTCCTTTGCTGTCATCTTTCATACACCGCACCATCATAACCAGGAACTCATCGAAGTCCACGGTGCCACTGCCTGAGGGAAGAATGGACTGTCTGGGGCCAGCTGGCCAGCACTGGGACCCTGACTGAGCTCCACACTTCTCCATGAGCAGCTCCACCAGACTGGCCCACCCAGCTTCCCTGCACAGCCACGTGAATTCAGAACCCCAAAACCTTAAGCTGGTGTTAAACCCGTTATTGTTAAAGTTAAAAACCAAGACTGCCATCAGATTGTGTCTCTACAAGTCAGACTGGAAGAATATACAAGGTCTGATGCCTCAGTCTCTTCTCATACTGGACTTGAGGAATGCAGGAAAGGGGAGCCCAGCCAGAGCCATCAGCTGGAGCTACAGGGGGTGGATGGGCAATGCCAAAGAGGGATCACCCTTCCCTTCAGCAAGCAAGGGCCAAAACTCAGGAGAGCAGCCCTGCAGCAAGAGTCAGCTCTCAGGATGCTGGAAAAAGTGACTGAGGCCCTTCCCTGACCTTGAAAGTGAATTTTTACCTTTCACAGTCATTTTGCCTTGGCAGAAGTCCTTCTGGAAGTACCAAAGGATGGAAATTCCTGCTATGGAGATACCTGTCCATCTAATTTGGGTATTAATATTGAAGGCTCCAGAAGGCAGGTATTCATGCAGTGTGGTTTTGCACGTGCACTATAGTAGTGTTGTTTTCAATGACTCAGATGCTTTCCTTTTTTGCCTGATTTTTAAAGGTTTTTTTTATTTTCCAGTTACTTAGTGTGGTATTTCTGCCCAAATGTCCACAGTGGGTTTTGTTATGTGTGATCATCAGTACACTGATTGAATCAGTATTGACAGTTAGTTATGTGGGGGTGTGTACACTTGAGCAGTGAGAGACTTTCCTGATCAAATCCTCTAAGTGGCATTTCTGAAATGGCAGTTCCTACATTCAGCCTGTATTTGGTTTTTTAAAAGGATCTGTACAATTTCACAATACCCCCCAAAATCAGTTCAAGCAGTCCGATCTCTCTAGGAATAAAAATTTCTATAGTTTCTCTTTGCTGGAAATTCCATAAAGGAGCCATGCTGAGGTCTGGTGGGTGTTTAATGTCCTTTGAAGTCACAGCAGGCTGCACCCCACAGCTGTGACTGTCCCCAGCATGGATCCTTCCAGCACTGCACAGATGGCCCCCACACCCCCAGATGTGGGGATGGTGCTTGGGAGAGCAGAAGAAACCCAAACTTCTCACCATCTTCATCCACCTCATCTATCATCTCCTGCAGCTCCTCAGGGGTGGGGTTCTGCCCCAGCATCCTCATCACCTTCCCCAGCTCCTTGGTGCTGATGCAGCCATCCTCTGCCCCCAGCACGAAGATGTCAAAGGCAGCCTTGAACTCTGGAGAGAGAGAGGAGAGGTGAGGGGGTCCTGCCCTGCAGCTGGAGCCTGCAGGCAGGGGCTCATCCCAGGCACAGCCTCCCCTGCCTGTGCACCCAGCAGTGCCCAGCCGTGGCCTTGTGGGACACCAGAAACTGCCTTGCTAGGAATGCTGGTGGATCAAAATCCCTGGGCCATGCCCTGCCTTGGCCAGCGTGACCAAAGCACTTTCCAGAATGTTCTTGCTGAGGTAGGCTGGGCTGCTGCCTGGGGGCTCCACTTCAGGCTCTGGTGTCAGGTTGAAGGTGCACCTACCATTTTTTTGCTCTTCTGTCAGCTGCTCAACCTGTAAGGAAAACACAGACTCCAAGTCATTTTAATTTTGTCAGCATCACTAATTGCTAAAAGAGCATGTTGTTTGTTCAACAGCTTTTGCCAGGGTCAACCAAACCTCACAAGAGGCAACCTCATGGATCAGGGAATGTACAGCCAGGGGGTTTTGACACAGCAGGTTTTTGTAGTCTAAGAGATTCTTCCCTTTAAAAAATTATTCACATCTCCTCTGAAGCAAACATAACTTCTCTAGAGTAGTAGATGCTAATACATGGCAGAAATAGCTTATGTACAAGCAGGGAAAGCCCCCTGGGAAAAGAATATGCCTCTGTCAACCATTTGGGGATAATTTCTTATTTCACTGCAGGATGGCTGCAGTGCTGAGGGCTGCTCACATGTGGGCCAGTGTCAGATCAGAGCTGAGATGTGCCTGAGAGTTCCCTGGGGAGGGAGAGGTAGACAAGACCATCCCTGGTAGTTGTTTTTCAGGCCTAGATCAGGGAACTACTGCCCTATCCAGAGCTTAACTGCTCTGCTTCCATCTCAGCCAGTTTTCTTACAAAGGTGTCTGGCTCTGAAGGGAGCTGCTGTTCCCTTCAGTCTGTTTTGGGAATCTCTGAAGGAATGGCCTGTGGAGCCAACAGGCATTAGCTGACATGGGCTGGCAGACTGTTCCCAAACTCTGCCCTAATTCAATCCCCACAGACCATCAGTGGGAGCTTATTAGATAGCATGAATTAATGAAAATAATCAATAAGGAGAGCAAGGGGGAATCGATCAGCTCTGTGCCATACCTGTTTAAGTTTTCCCTCTTTGGCTTCATTTCAGGTACTGCCAGCTGAACTTGCTGCCCTCACTACCATGTCTCACTGCCCCTCTGGAAGCATCCATGAGAACATCAACTTTTCCTTCCTATGCTGGTCAACAGCCTCTCTAGATCCAGCCAGGTAGGACCCCATGGCTGCCCTGTCTGACCCCACTAAAGTCTCCTTGCTGCCACCCCCATGCCAGTTTTGTTTGGGGCAGCACCCCACACCCCAGGGTTGTGTCTTTGAGTGAAAGCTGATTCTTTTGCCCCAAAGGGCAATGGTTTTGCAAAAGGCAGCTGGTTCTTCCTGGCAGAGAAAGCACTTTTCCTTAGTAGGACAGAGCCTGTGGGAGCAGGCAGAGCATTTTATCCCACTCCCCCTGCTCCAGGAGGTGAGAACTTGGCAGAAAGCACTAAGGATGGTGGCAGGATTTTTCTCCACAGCTGGAGGAAAGCCAAGCCCAGTGTGTTCCTGGTGCTGCTGAAGGCAGGCAGGCAGCTGCTGGCCCTCTGTAGATATTTTTTGGGCAGAGCAAGGGGAGCCACCACCAGGATGGCCACAGCCAGTCCTGCTCTGTAACACGACACCCCTGGCGCAGTCGCTATTTATAAACCTGGGGGAGAGAGGTGCTGGAGATAAAGATGAGCTCCCTGATTGTTCCCAGGCTTTGGTATTTATCCTTGCAGCCCTTTATCTGGACACTTGTCCCTGGCACTGTTCTAGGCACTGCTTAACAGAGCCTAAAAATATTCCCAAAATAGCTTTGTGTTTGCACACCCTTATCTAGGCATGAGTGGGTAAGATGAAAATCCATTGGGTTCTCTGGCTGCACGTAGGGGATTTGGCATAAATGTAATATTAATATATGCTATCAGCATGCAGAAAATATACACTATTCACTTTTGAAGCCTCTTTGAGTACTGAAGTGATAGATGTGGTGTATATAAATTAGATGCATTGTTGCTATAGAGTGACATTTTTGTCACAGGAATATCTCTCGAGCTGTTCATAGTTTGCTCTGGACATGGGTGCTGTTTGCTGCCTTATTCCTCTTTTCCCTCCACACCATTCCAGGAACAGGTTTTTCTGCCTGCAGTGTGGGAAGGCAAGCTCTAAGCTCACAGCACTGCAGCAGCTATGATAATGCCAAATCTGCTGTATTTTGCTTTTATCAGCTCCTCTCTCCATCCCATGGTTTTCATTTGAAGTCAGACAGAAGAAACTGAAGTTCTTAATTTTTTCCACGGGTAAATGTTTTCAGTCTAAATTGTGGGAATTAGATACACAAAAGAGCTGTCTGTCTCAGCTGTGCCTGTCTTGGACTTGTTTTGCCTCTGTAAAGATGTTGGGAGTTAATGCCCAGGACTCAAACCCTACATTTACCTAATTAATGGCCATGTGGTCTCTATACAATGAGGAAAGAGCCTGTGCCTTGAGTCACAGAGAGCTTATTTAATTTAAAACCTTAATTAGAAAGGCCTGGATTTCCTTTGATTTTACAGGTTCGATTTTTCTCCATTTTGAAGGTGTTGGCTGGGGGACTCAGCTTTTCCTGAACCTTTTCACACTATCAGGATCACTACAGGGGTTCCATTTCCGAGGTTCAAGGCTAACCAAAGGACGGGATGTGTGAGCATTGAGGGTTTTTTTCTTCAGTTATCTACCAAGGACTATATTCCTTCCCTCTAAAAACCTTGGCATAATAATAAGACAGGTATGATGTATATTTTTGCTCTTGCTTAAAATCAAACTTGATCAGCTGTATATTTAAGGAGGGAAAAGCACCAAAAAGCTCTTACTGTAAATCCAGTTATGGATGCAACAGCAATCCACACAATCCAGAATCTATTTTCATCCTTATTCCACTTGCACAGCTCTGTCTGTCTGCATTACAGAACAATGCAGAGTTCTTATTACACACCAAATAGTTTGGGTTTATACAGTGAGCACAGCCTGCAGCTGTGGAAGCTAAAATAGCCAAAGGATGCTCCACGTTCCCCAGGGCATAGCTCACATTCTGGATTCTGCACAGCACAGAGCAGGAGCAGCAAAGCAGAGTGGGAGGTTTGGAAATAACTGAGAACAAACCAAGGGTTTTTTAAGTCCCCATGAAAAATACTCAGCTAAGGAGCAGGGGAACATAGCAATGGCAGAGTTGTAAAGCACCAGAAAGAAGAGGGTGAGTTTTAACCCATACAAATAACGTTTCTTTCCTGGGAAATCCTCCTCTGCTTTGTCTGGGCTAAAACCAAGAGTCATCTCTTATGCCATGAAGGTTTTATTGAGATTTATAACTTCACCTAGGAGCCATGTCCTTGCTTTACAGTGGAGAACCAGGGGGTCATTGTAAATAATTTAACAGCAGGTTGAGAGTTTCACACTTGTAAGAGGAGTGTGAAACTTCCCAAGACATGAGAGGGAAGGGTCAGTGCCCTGGATGAGGATGTTGACTAAAAGTTGCTGCCCTATAATTATTTCTCATTTCCATTTCTCCACTGAATTATTGCCATCGCAGCTTTGGGGAGCCTACAACAAAAATCCTTAGATCCATTTCAGACCCAACAAGAATCCTTAGATCCATTTCAGAGCCCCTCCCCAGCCCAGCGCCCCAGGGGCAGCACTCACCGCTGCCTTGTAGATGTCATCCATGGCTGGGCAGGGCCGGGGGTGTCGCTGTCCCTGTGCCGGCGCTGCCGGGGGCAGGGCTGATATAGGGGGCTGGGGCCGGCCCCGGGCAGCCCCGCACGCCCGGCCCCCCAGGAATGCCCGGCCTGCGTGCCTTGGGACGGGGACACGGCCGAGCCCGGCGCTGGCACGTCCGGGGCCAGCCCCAGCCCCAGCGCCAGCCCCGGCCCCGGCCCCCTCGGCGGCAGCTGGAGCTCTCCTCGTGACTTTGTTGTTGTGGGATCAAGGCACCACTTTTCAGCAAGACCCGCCGAAATTGCTGATAAACTGAGGCTCTTGGCTGTCCTGGCTGGACCCGTGCCATGGTGTCACCTCCACCTCCAGAGTGTTCCCCCTGGGAGCTGCCTTAGAAAGATTATACCGTGCCAAATAGGATTGGGTATTGCAGGAAAGGTACATGTCCCAAAATATCCCTGTCCAGTAGCAAATGTCCCCCGGGGCAGTGGGAACAGGGGGTGTCAGGGCCCCTCGTCCCCTCTGTGTGTCCCCACATCCATGGGGACCTGAGCTGGGGCTCTCGGGGAGCCTGAATGGATCTGTGTGGGCAGACCGGGAACATGGGGGGAATGTGCGGCCCCAGCACCACGGAGACACACACGGAGCTTTGCCCCAATCTTCTGTTTTCAGCTAGGGCTGCAAAATGTGGGGACCAGCTACCAAAATGGGGGTATCAGCTCTGTTTGATTCCAGGGATAATTGCCAGTCCTTTGGGAAGTCATGACTCACTTCACCCAGACAGCTCGCTGACCTGTCCCCACTGCAAATAGCTCAAATCCACACTCCTGGATTGACTGTGGGTTTACCATGGATTTACCCTGCCACGGTGGAGAGCAAAACACACCAAAGGCCTCCAAGGGATGAGCAGTTTTCTCAGTGCAGTGAGAAGTGTTTTAATCCACAGCAACCGAGGACAAACCTCTCTTTTTAACGATTCAGGACTCCCTCTTGTGTCCAGAGGGGCTACAGATGGCTCTGGCACCACAGGGTGGCAAAGTCTCACCTCCAGCTGGTTCATGTCAGAATTAGTTTGCAAAACTAAAAATGCAATTAATGCAACTGTTATTTTTCATCTTTTCTACAAATTCGCCTTTAAGAGGAATCATGCTGCATGGAAAACCTGCAGTCCCCATGGAATGCCCAAGCCAAAGCAGCATTAACCAGGTGGTGTCAGCACAAAGTGGAGATGCAGGTGAGCACAAAGCCATCCCACATCACATCCTTCCAGGTTTTGAGTCCTGAAGGATTAACTCACTGCAGAGGCTGATAGGAACTGTGGTCCTGTGGTCACCCAGGCTTCAGCCCAGCCCTGCCTCTGCTCAGCCTAGGGGTAGCAGATGGAATAAAAAGGAAAATTGTTTCATTTAAGGAATTGATTTTTGAAGCAGTTAGTCTTCCTAATTTGAATGTATTTAATATTTTGGTTGCCTTTAACACACAAAAGTAGAAAAAGCAGCAGAGTGAAGTAGTTATTTTGTTAAAGGGCATTGGAGCCTGTTCTTAGGTGAGGGCACAGGTTGGGATGGGAGACCTGCTGTTCCCCAGAACCAAATCACCACCCAGAACCTCCTGGGCAACCCCAGAGAGACCTTCCCAAGGAAATGCTGCCCCAAGGCAAACCCCAGCCCCTGGCTGCTTCTCTGGCCTTGGGATTCACTGCAGGGACAGTGGGGTGGCAGGTGCCAGCTCTGGGCACTACAGAGACAGGGGCTGAGGAATCCTGCCTGGCCCTGTCCCTCCATCCTGGGAAGTGATGGCTCTGAGTCACCCTGAAAACAGCCCCTGGGATGCGTCAGAATATATTTAGGGTCAATGTAGCACCCTACCCTGGAGGGGTGGCTCAACATTGCCTTTAAAAGGTCTGCTGGAGAGAGCTGGGGTGAAATTCAGGCTGGGATGTGGAGGAAGGGTCTCTGTGTGCTTAGAGAAGGGAGATCTGGACCACTGCCACCCTACACACTGGCATGGGAAAGCTGCACATCTGAGACTTACAAAGCAGAGCTGAGCCAGAGGAGAGGATGAAATCCCATCTGGCAGCAGGAGGAGGTGATGTTCCTGCCGGGGAAGGAGGCACAGGCGAGTGGCACAATGCCAACCCCTGCCTCCCTGCTGGCTGCCTGGAGACAAAGCTTCCAGCATCCCCTGGCTCTCCAGGGCTGTTTGCTTACAAAAGAACTGGGAATTGGGGTTTTGTAGGGAAACCCAGAGCCTCTGCCATGCACAGCACAGGGAGGGGCTGCTGCAGGTATGGGGTGTTCTGAGGGAGAGCCACCCTCTCCTGCTGCTTCCTGTGCCCCAATGTGAGCCCCATGGCAGAGGGAGGGTGGCTATCTATAGCCTGAGGAGGGCTGCCAGCACAGTGCCTTTAATCTGCCACAGCTGTCACTGGGTCAGGTACAGCCTGTGAGCTCCAGCTGCATCCTGACATGCTGTCCCACTTGTCAGTCCCTCCAAGCTACCAAGACAACTGGGAAGCTTTACTGAGCTTTTTTCCTCCAAAACTTCATTTCAGGTTCTCACTTCCAAGCAGCTGTAACCCACCTAGCAGAGGCATTCTTGAGGTCAAATGTAAGGAAATAAAAGCCAGAAGCCCAACTGAGTTGTAATTTTATTTGAGATTAAGGATGTTTGCAGGGCTCCTTTGGCTGTGCCATGGCTCCAAACTGCAGCAAAATGCTCCATCATCCCCTTTCCCTGCCTTGGGCACCTGGCCCTGAGAGACAGTCCAGACCCAGCAACAGCAAAATTCTTTAATTTACTGCTTCCTAAAGCCTACTCAGAATCTTTTAGCTGAAGGAGCCCCCATTTTCCCCCTTCCCCAGGCACATTGCTCCTCTCCTCTGTGGGCCAGGACGGGGCTGTCACACCCTGAGCCACCGCTGTGCCTGCGGGCAGGAACTGCTTCAGGAGGCGGAGACGGGCACTGATCAAACCCGACAGCCGCGACAGGGCTGCAAATTTTTATTTAATTAAGGAGACAGGACATTCAGAGGAAGCTTAATTAAGGTTGCTCTCCAAACCCACTTATTATCTCATGAAGAGGCTGAGCTCAGCAGCAGTTCCTGATGCTGGGACAGCATTAGAAAATCCCTGTTGGGCTGCTTGTACTCTCTGTGTTTTGTCCTTGTACACATCATCCTTCGGATACATCCTGACCAAGGGAAAACATTTTTCAGTGAAAAAAACCCCCAAAATGTGTTTTTCCAGTTCTGTTTGCAGAGGTGTGTTTGTTTATCTGCCACTGCAGTCCTGGTGGCATCTGAGACACCGGCATTGCCCCTGCAGCTCCACACATCCAGCCAGGGCATTTGCACTTCTGTTGGAATTCATACTGAGCTAATTGCATCCTCTCTTAGGTAGCATAAGGTAGGGCAGACAGATGTTGCTTTCATTCTGCTGGAAGGTACTTTTAACAAAATCTCATTGATTTGACAGTCCAAAACATAATCCTTCTGTGTGTAATGTAGCACAGAGTTTATTTCAAAGCCTTGATGGATGCTTGATGCATCCTTCTGCCAAAACATAATCTTTCTAGATAACCTCTCAATTTTAATACACCAGATACTCCTAAAGAAACTCATTATATCCTCTCTCCTGCAATTTTCTGTTCCTGGGGTGCACACCGCCTGTCAAAAAGGTTGCCATAGCATGACTTTCCCTCAGGGCAGCTCAGGTTCAGCTCAGGGGAAAAGGCTGAGGAGAGTTTGTTTGCCATCTTTTAGACTCTGCACTGCTGTTACAAATTCCTGGCAAGATCCTTTAGTGTGTACAGGCTTGAAACACTTCCCCATGCTCAGTGGGACAGTGAAAGGAAAGTCCATGCTGCCAGTAAATCACCCCAAACAACACCCCGAGTTCACTGTGGGCTCATTCCTGAGTGAGTCAGCCCAGCTCCTCAGCTCTGTTTTTGGGGTGGCACCAGGCAGCTCAGTCACAGAACCACTGAGGTGGCACCTCAGCCTGGTGTGATGGTGTCCAAGCCTCCAGCCCTTGGTGGCCACAGATGTGCACCACGAGCTGCCAGCAGCTGGGACAGTGTCACAGCCACAGCACTCGGAGGGGTCTCAGGCCTCAGCAGCTCCGCACTGCAGGGATTGCATCCCTCTGGAGTGCACTGGATTGGGCTGGGTTGGATTCATTGGATTGTACTGGATTGCATTGCATTGCACTGTATTGAATTGGACAGCATTGGATTGCATTGGATTGGAGTGGATTCTATTCCATTGGATTGCATTGAATTGGATTCTATTCCGTTGGTTTCCATTGGATTGCATTGGGTTGGATTCTATTCCATTGGACTCCATTGGATTGGACTCCATAGGATTGCATTGGACTGGACTGGATTCCGTTGGACTCCATTGGACTGAATTGGATTCCATTGGATTCCGCTGGACTCCATTGGATCGCACTGCACCGCACTGCGCGACGTCCCCCAGGCACAGCTAGCGCGCATGTGCGTTCGGTTAGGCTAGACCCCGCCCCCCGCGGGACATAGCCCCGCCCCCACAACACCAAGCCCCGCCCCTGCACCGAGCACCTCCCTCCCTCGCTCAGCCCCCGCCCCTTCGAGCCGAGCCCCGCCCCCTGTGCCCATAAAGGGGCGCGGGCGGAGCGCGCCGCGCCCTAAGGGGGTCGAGCCAAGATGGCGGCGGCGGCAGTGCGGGCCGGGCGGGCGGCGGGTGCGGGCGGCGGCGGCCGCGGGGGAGCCGTGACGGCCTGAGCGGCTGCGCCCCGGCGCTTCTCCCGGCGACATGGAGGCGGCGGCGGGAAGCGAGGACGGCGAGGAGCCCCCGCGGGAGGCCCGAGTCCTGGGCTCTGAGCTGGTGGAGACGTACACGGTGCGGAGCGGGGAGGCCGTGCGGGACGTGCGGGCGGCGGGGATGGGGCAGCGGGCCCGCCGCCTCAGCGCTGCCGGGGGAGCGGGTGAGGCCGGGCTCGGGGCCGGGCTGCCGCCGGCAGCTGTGCCC